TAATTGCAATTCGAACTAAAACGGATCTCCCCGATTCCCTAATTTCTTTATTATTATTTAGTTGGTATTTTAAGATTTATGCTTTTATGCTATTTCTTAGTTGATAGTTAATTCCTCCCCAATCTGATTAGAGTGTTTAGGATTTATTTTTCTTTTTTGTGTTATCAATACCAATTCTAAATTTCGAACCGCCTTCCTCGAGAGATCGACCCGGGAAACGAATCCTTGATTCGGTACTCGGTAAAAATAAAAATTTGTACACAACAAATTTGGCGCCGTTGCCGGGGAAGGCAAGTAGGATATTTAGTTTTGGTATTGATTAAATTTTCCGTGTTTCTCTTTGTTTTTTGTTTTTGGGATTTTTGTTTTCTCTTTTGTGCATATTTGTTTTTCTTTTTGTCTTCTTTGTTTTTGTCTTCTTTTTCCTTCTTTTTCGTGGCTACGTGTGGTTGTTCTATTTTGATGTGCAGGAGATATGAACTCCAACCGTACTTTTCCCTATCCGCACACCCAACCTTGGGGTTACAAGCCGAGCTATCACACCGGGTACCACAACCAATCATATTCATATTCTTCCGAGCAGTACTGGGATCCCCACACAGTCGAGCAAGCTTATGAGTCCCACAAGTTCAACGAGAAGCTCGACCGTATCTATGAATTCACGTCATCCCGGTTATCTCAGGATGAAGAGACCGCAACCCGGTGTAGGCATGCGCATCAGTCACCTCCATACCATGATTCTTGGGACTATGGCCAGACTTGGTCATATCCTTACGAGCAGCAATGGGAGTCTTTACCTGTTGAGCAGTCATGTGAGTCCCTCGAGGACTCATCAGAGTACAATGCCAAGCTCGACCAGGCCCTCGCTCTTTTAGCCTCCCAAGCGGCCCGTTGGAGCAATATTGAGTCCAAAATCGAGAACCTTGTGGAGCGCGTGCAAGCATTAGAGGATCGAGTTAACAATGTCACTCCCGAGCCCACCGCTCAAGGCGAATCTATACATAGAGATGAACCTCGAGAGGCTGCTTTGACATACGATGAAAAGCTCGACCTCATCCTTGCTCACATATCTGCCCAGGCCACTCGAGATGTGGAGATTGAGCTCAGATGTGCTGGACTGGGCACACAAACGGAGATTCTTACAGCACACATCGACTCAATCGTGGCACAAGTCGCCGACCCCCACGTCATGCTTGATACTCAAGCCCGTACGATGAAACAAATGTGTGAGGCCGAAGAAGAAGATGATGAGCTCCAGCCAGACGTTGATGATATTTCAGAAGAGGAGATCCATGGGCTTGATTCTCAAGTCCCACCTCCCACCTTCGAGTTGGAGCATCTTTCTTCGAGGCCGTTGCACTGTGTTACGAAGTGGGGAGAATTCAGTTCGACTTGCTCCACAGATATCCTTATAGTCCCGGAGGTTGACGACAGAGCTCGCGTGGGAAAAGCTCTGCGTTTAGAATTGGGGATTGCTCGTGCCCGAGACCACTTCATACAGAACATAGCCACCCGGATCCACCATGCCCGCCTTCTTGCCACCCTTCCCATGCTGCCACTTCTGGAAAATACGAAGGCGTGGCATGATCGCCATTTCTTCTTGGACCCTGGCTGAGTTCCTCGCAGGTTTCGTCAAGCTAATGACGTTAAACAAGCGCTTCTTGGGAGGCAACCCAAGTGATTTATTGCTTTCCTAGATATTTTCTTTATGCTTTTTAGATTTATTCTTTGAATAATGGGAGTTTGGAGTTTCTGTGTTTTTCTTGGCAGGAATGAGTTAGCGAGCTTGAGCAGGACGAACATCGAGGTCCAGAGTGGAGCGTGGACGAGTAGCTCGTATGTGGATGCTTATCTCCTCGAGGCATTTTCGGTTTGCACACCCTTTTTTTCCTTTTCTTTTTATCTTTTTTGAGTTGTTCTTTCCTCTGTCTTTGCTTTTGAGTCTTGCGTTGCTGTCGTAGTTGCTAAGTTTGGTTCATCATGTGAGAGTGCTAGGTCCTTTATTTAACTTCCTGTTTCGTGTTGAAGCAATGAGGACATTGCCTCATTTTAAGTGTGGGGGAGTTATTCGGATTTTTGCATGCTTATATGGTGGGCCGGGCTAGTTTAGGTTTTTTGTGTTGTTGAGCATGGTATTGGTGGATTATATGATTTGTTGATGGATGTTTGATGAAATTGGGAAGTTGTGATGACGATTGTGTTGATCATTGCCTCGATATTGCTTGATTGCTTTGAGTGACATTTATTTACCTTGTGAGGTTTTGATCCTTACTCTTTCTTTCTTGTGAGATATTGGTCATATTCTTGAATGATTAGAACTTGCCTTGAGTTTGTTTGAAAGGAATCTATTAGAGTTTGAAATTGCGAATGTGATTGAGGCGTTTTGTTTGAATAGCTCACTTCTGCCTTGTTCTTTGGCCCTATTTATTATTCCACTAGTAGCCCGTTTGAGCTTAAAACCTTTTCTTGTCAACCTGTTGACTGATTTGTGTGATGATTGGGTGATTGGTGGCATTTCTGAATATGGTGGACATTGAGTTGCATTTTGTTTGCTTGACCATTCAAAAAAAAAAAAAGAAAGAAAGAAAAAAAAAACAACATTGAGAGTTCACAAGACGAATCAATGGATTCTGCTCCTCTTACTAGTCGATTCATTTTGACAGGTAATGAGCATTAGGAAACTACTGTAGGAAACTTGGATGACCTCCAATGTTCACACCTACAGAATGTTGTCCTTTTGATTCAATCTTGTTGGGAAAAAATTATCCAAATAAAATAAAAAAAAAATAGAAAAAGAAAAAAATAAGGTTAAGTGATGATGTTGCAACTTGCTCTGAGCATCTATGTGTTGTTTTGAGGAATGTTGGTTGGGTAGTAAGTGTGTTGTCATGATTATTCTGGTTGAGTAACGGAGAACTCGAGTAATCTATTTGCTCGAGAATTGTGATTGTGTATTTAAGCTTCTTTTCCTTTATATATCCTTACCTTGAACCAAATAGCCTACATTACAACCCGTGAAGTCCTCTTGATCCGCAAGTTTTGAGCTTTGATTGTTTCTGAGTAATTTAAACGATTGGCAAGCATATGTTGAAACTTGAATATTGACCAATCTGAGAGAACCTATCATATATTCATGTAAAAGAATGAGTGAGGCATACACTAATATTTCTGTATTTGAGAGTTTGTCATTTTGAGGCCAAGTTGATATTTGAGGCATCTGGTCATACAATCGTTGGAATTCAACCCGGTTGAGTTAAATATTTCTGAGGCTCTTCTTGTATGAAATCGATATCCATGTTCGTGTCTTGTTTTCTTTTCTTTTGTTTTTGTTCGGGACGAACAAAGGTTTAAGTGTGGGGGAGTTGTTTGTCCCATTTTTGTTGCGTTTTTCATTGTTATTTTGTCCCTCATATTGAGGTTGCGTTTTTCATTGTTATTTTGTCCCTCATATTGAGTCATTTAGATGGTTTTAGGATCATTTTGTCATTTATTATGTGTTTTGCGTTCATTTGAGTGTTGCGATGTTTTCCGTTTGTTTTCCGGTCTTTTTCTGTTCTCTTTTCGTTTTTGGTGTGTAGTTTGAAGACCTTGGGAGAACAGGTTTTCGAGAATATTGTGGGGAAGCTGACACCCTTAGATAGAGGGGTTCGTTAGCGACACGTGAGTCCGGCAGAGCAGGGGCTCGTCGTCGGACTGGACGGAGACGTCGGCCTGGCCGGAGCGAGGGTTCAACGGCGAGCGAAATAACGGTGTCAGCCTGGCAGAGCAGGGGCTCGTCGCCGGACTGGATGGAAACGTCGGCCTGGCTGGAGCGAAGGCTCAACGGCGGGCGAGATAACGACGTCAGCCAAGCAGAGCAGGGGCTCGTCGTCGGACTGGACGGAGACATCGGCCTGGCCAGAGCGAGGGCTCAACGGCGGGCGAAATAACGACGTCACGGCTTGAAGGTCTCGTGACTTTTCAAGACTGAGAAGTGTTAGAGGAAAGGTCATGCCTATCCCGAAGGCTTGCAGCAGACCAACTTCCTCTAATCCATCCCGTCTCGGCTCGATTATTCGGTATACATTTTATTCATGTATTTGTACATATACGTATGTATATCTACCCTTATTATTAGTATGTGTACGTATACACATATATGTATATACATATTTAAAGTGAAATTGAGAATAAGATTACCTTGACCCGGTGTAGAGTGCAGACATGAGAGTATTACCGTCTGGAGAGGTCAGCTTCTCTTCTGCTCATACCCCTGCCGAGTTCCTCGATTCTGAGTTTGATCGCTTATTAGTCGGGACGCTATGAGCTAATTCTATTTCTTACATCTACCTTGTTTATTACAACACTTTATTTATTCCACCTATCACAAAATTATCTAGGGCCCATTTCTTTTTAATTCCACTAACAGGCCCAATTGAAAATCTGCTCCTTGTTCTCACGATAAAGAGGGCTGCGGCAGAAAAATCTTCCCATATCGCCTAATCCATTCCCAAATCGCGGGATCCAAATCTTTCCAAATCGGGTCTCTGAGTAATTGCCGGCGACGGGGGTTGAGGTCCGACCGTGATTTGGTGACCGATTCGGTCTGTGACGTGGGGTTCGACGGCGGTGAGATCGGTCGTCCGGCTTGGATCTGAGGGCGGCAGCGGCTCGGCGGTTGAATCCGAGGTCGGCATCCATGGAGTTTGTGGTACGGTGAGGGCGGCTGTGTCGCCGAGTGGGATCGATGATAGCTGTAGCCCAACCTTAAAGCTAGACGGCGGTGGTGAGGTCGGCGATTGTCGACTATTGAGGTCGGGCCCCATCTGTGATTTAGGGATGGCGAAGTCGAGATTCAGTTGCAAGATCGGCCACGGTTGCTGAGGTCGAAGACTGCGGTTGGACTCCGGTGGTCGGCATCGATGGCGTGATGAAGGCCCGACATCCGTGGTGTGGTCGGCCCCCAATATCTGAGGTGGAGAGGTCGAGGTTGTTTCGGAGAAGAAGAGGTCAAATCGTACTGTTGAGTAGTCTGGTATTCTCCGGCGAGGTCGGCGATTTGGGCATGTCGGCCGTGGCTGAGGTCAGAGATGAAGGCGTGGTCTGCCCCGGCGGCTAGGTGGGGCTGGGCTGTGAAGCGAGTCGGCTCCGGCGACTGGATGGCCTCCCCGGCAATGAGGTAAGCTCGGCGTCTGATGTTTGCGTCAGCCCGACGCTCGATGTTTTTGGTGCAGTGGCGGCCTGAATTCGAGGCCAGCATCGGAGATTTTGAGTACGCTGCCGCTGGGATGGCTGGTCGTGGCGGCGAGGTTGACTCGTGAGGTCGGCCCGTTGGTCACGAGGTCGGCTTGTAAAGTCAGCTCGTCGATCACGAGCCCGGCGACGAAGTCGGCTTGCTATGTTCGACGGTGAGGTCGGGGAAGCTGAGGTTGACACCTTCGATTTGTTGGCCCGGTTTACAATTTGGTGTTTTTGGTGTGGTGCCGGGCTTGAAGTCCGGGCTATGGTGTTTGGTCAGCCCGGAGTTGAAGGTTTTGGAGTTCGAACTCGACGTTTGATGGCTGCCGTCGACTCGGGGTCTTGTTGGTAGGCACTTGAAGGTTGTTGTCGGTCTGGGATCTTTTGTTTTAGCCGACGCACGCATTCTAAAATTCTGCTTTCTTTTTCCCTTTTCCGGAATGATCATTCTTGGTGGAGATGCGGTTGTGAGGTTGTGTTCGGCCCGTCGCCGGCGTGGGTGGATAAATTCAGCCGACTTGAATAGGTGTCTTTCGGGCTGGAAGAGATTGAGTATGTGGTCGGCTGGCTTTGAGGTTGACCCCGACGACTGATGTGCGATTCGGACGACGCGAGGTCGGCGCCGGAAGAATTTCAGGCCCTTCTTGTCACGAGGTCGGCCCAACGACATGATGTTTGGGTCGTTGAGGTCTGTCCCGCGGCTTATCGTTAGTCCCGAGTTGAGGTCGGCGTTTGGTTAGCCCGGACTTAAAGGTTTTGGAGTTCGAGTTCAACCTCGAACTGAGGCTTTGACATCGGGTCAGCCCGGACTTGGATGTTTTGGAGACCGAGCTCGGCGTCTAGCCATTGTCGTGGCGTTGGGTCAAATTGGATATCTACGGTGCGCCGGCTTCATGTCTGGATTGAGGGTATGCGTTGGTTCGAAGTCCAAGCTGTCTTGTTGGCCGACGTTTTCTGACTTCTGGCTTGACTTTTTCCTTCTCTTTTTTATTGTTTTTATTATTATATCTAGATGATGACATGATGTGACAGGAACAGTAATAGTAATAGGAGTGTGGTTTAATCATGCCCAGCAAGTGGTATTATTTGTCCATCTTTATTCATTAAAAAGGAGCAGAAAAGAAAAGGAAAAATGAATATTCAAGCAAGTGGTATTATTTGTCTATTTTTTATTCACTAAAAAGGAGTAAAAAGAAAAGAAAAAATGAATAAAAACCTGCATCTGTGTGAATTTGCAGCAGGTTCAAGCGAAATTCAAGATAAGAAAAGGATGAGATCTCAAATTATGCGGGTTCTTTCTTGTTTCGGGACTCGAATTCAAGGAGAATTTTAGATTGCAAATGCTGAGACTTTATTAGAAAGGAAAGAGGATTTAGAATTCTTGAACATCTTGGAGTTTATATATGATTTTTGTACCTCCGAAATAGGATCGAAAATGGTGTTCATACCAAGCTTTGCAGGAACATTTCCCGGTGAAGGTGTAGCCGTTTTCCAGCGAAAATTGACTGAGTAAATTATGGAGCCCTCCTTCTAGCGCCAAACTGTTGATGTCGAAAATCGGATGATCAACCGTCAAATATAACACGAATTGCTTGTATGAAATCGATGAACAAAAAATGATAGAGGATCGGTATTTTTCTTACTTTGGAGAGAAATCTCCTTTTTTGTTGAGGGAAGATGAATAATGGAGAGAGCTCTTCCAACCGCCCCTACTCTCTCTCTTGAGTGTTACGTATGAAGAGAATGAAATAAATCCCCCGTTCTCTCCTATCCTCCACATATATATCGGGATTGCTATTTGTCGCCCCAAATTACTACTTGTCGCCCGAAAAAAATAATAAAAAATGATAAATTTACAAAAATATCCCTGTGGTAAAAAAAAAGTTACTAGAAAAAGGCATTCGAAATGTCCAAATGTGAAGCCCGTCTCTGAAGAGAAACGTCTAGAAGCTAAGCTTCAATGTTGAAGAAACGTCCAACATAGAAGCCCAACTGTGAACACAAACGTCCAAAAGCTAAGCTTAGAAGCAAAGGAAACGTCCAAATGCGAAGCCCGACTTTGATGTGAAACGTCTAAATGGGAAGGGGCAACAAAGTTAAAACTTTTAAATAGCAAGCTTATTCTGCTGCTAAACATCCAACTGGAAAGCTTGAGCCCATGAGAAACGTCCAGGACCGAAGCTATAAAGCATGCCAAACGTCCCGTACTAAAGCTTGCCTATAAAAGCAAACTTCAAACTTCTAACATGGAAGCTTCACTGTGAAAACAAACGTCCAGAAGCTATGCTTGGAAGTCAAGTAAACATCTACTTGGAAAGCTTATTCTGCTTCTAAACGTCCAACTGGAAAGCTTGAGTCCATGAGAAACGTCAAATATTAAAGCTATAAAGCATTCCAAACGTCCCGTATTAATGCTTGCCTATAAAAGCAAACGCCTAACATGAAAGCTTCACTGTAAAAACAAACGTCCAGGAGCTAAGCTTGGAAGTCAAGTAAACATCTATCTGGAAAGCTTGAGGCCACGTGAAACGTCCAAGAGTTAAGCTTTAAAGCATACAAAACGTTCTTTATTGAAAAATGCCTATGAAAGCAAACGTCCAGAAGCTATGCTTGGTGTTCAAGCAAACGTCCAAAATGGAAGCTCCATTGTGAGAGCAAACGTCCTAGAGCTATGCTTGGAAGTCAAATAAACGTTACAGAAGGAAGCTTAAGTCTTTATGGAACGTCTTATAGTTAAGCTTTGAATCCAAACAAACGTTCTAGAAGAAAGCTTAGGACAACAACAAACTTTTTTAAAAGGATATAGAATTGTTATTTTATAATATACACTTATTTTTAATATAATTTTAATAATAAAATCGTAATCCTATTTATTAATGAAAATATATTTTTTTAATAGAATCATATTTTAATAGAATCGTAATTTTTTTAATATTTACAAATAATTCTCATAGTTGTGAATTGATCTCACTTAGACTATTAGTCCAATAGAAATGACCTCATTTTTTAGTGAATCAAAGTAGAAGTTCATATTTTGTAGTGAATCAAAGTAGATGTATTGTATGCACGTTCATGTTTACATCTTACGGGTTTAGAGTACTAGTCATGGCCATGGGCCGCCCCGGCCAGGTCTGTGGAACCGGCCCAGAGTCAACCAGTTCAGAACCGAGCTTGTGGTTGACTATGCCGGTTATGGGCGTCATGTATAAAAAATTTTGAGTCAGTAGGCCGTTGAGATCCAATGGTCAAGATTTAGTTATGAAATACAATTAATATCTTATTAGTCTATTGATAATTATGATAGTTGTGAATGAACGCCACTTAAACTATTGATCCAATAAAATGAACCTCACTTTTTAGCGAATCAACGTAGAGGTTTTTGTATGCATGTTCCTATTTATATCCTACGGGTTCATCTTACTAGTCACGACGTTGGGATGGCCCCACCCGCCAGTTCGACCCGAATCGATCGAATCTGTCCTGAATCGGCCCGTGGTCAACCGGCCCAGAACTGAGCCCGTAGTTTGACCTGACCGGTTCTGGGCTTTTGGCCTGGTGGACCGGGTCCAGGCTGACCCGCCATTTTATTTTATTATTTAACTTACTTAAATTTGTCGATATTATTTTTTAGTCTTATTCTGTATTATAATTAAAATGGTATGAAATGTTAAGTAAATATAATTTTGAGAAAAAGACAATATTATATTCTATTAAAATCTTAAATTTTCATTTTTAGTTGCACAAATTTAGTCTTAACTAAAATTTAGAGTCGGTTTATATCTGAAAATCGATCGTTTTCGATTATATGTTCATAATTTTCCAGTTATTTTGGTTGGTGTCGATTTCTGGACATCAAATGTCGCAGGCTGACCCACTTTAAAAAAATAAAAGTTGTACGTCTATAGTATCCCTCCCAGCCCAACACTTGGGCCCAATTTGAATAAAACATATGGCCCAAATCCCTAACCCCAATCGTCTCTCACAAGTTCTCGTTTCCTCTCTCAATGCACTAAACCCTTCTCTGCCAACGACAACAAACCTTGAAGGCTGACCACTTCCCGACGGCGAGCCCAGACATGGAGAGTCGACAAAACTAAGTCCAGCGATCGAGAGCAGCACCACCAACGGGTTTCAGTCCGGCGACCGACGACAGCACCTTCCCCCTGCCCGAACCAGATTCCGACGAGAGCCACCAGGTGAGAGAAGCAACCCACGGTTGAGGCCTGACCATTTCTGTGGCTGAGACGAGCATACAGGAGAGTGAAAAGTAGCAGCATCTCAGGCGACCGGATATTTTTTCCGAGTCCCAGCAGCAATTTCGAGTCGTCCCACCTGAACACCTTTCTTTCTCTATTTTCACGGTAATCCGTTGCCTCATCATTTTGCAGTGTTCTATTTGATGAAAGTATTTTCTTCACATCCCTTTGTGGTGGGTCTTGAATTGATAATTGTTGGGAATTTGATTCGATTTGAGTTTGATCAGTTATGATTTGTGGGTATCTGTCGTGAAGTTGGACTTTGGATATCTTGCTTTCTGACAAACAAATTTTGGGTTGAGTAAATATTGCATTTGTACTTTTGTTGGCCGAAATCCTATGCTTTTTTGTTCTTATTTTTCAGTTTGAAGAGCATGTGCATTTTTGGTTGAAGTGTGAGAAAAAGGGGCGTGTTATTAGGGTTGGTTTTGTTTCAGTGATGGCTGAGATTATGTGGTTATTTGGATGTTTAGTTTCAGTTTACTTGAAAGTTAAAAAGCTTGCTGGAATCATTGAGTTTGTTTGAATGTGTGGAGGCCTGTCGTTTTTAAAATTTGCTGAACCCCCCTTTTAGTTTTCTTTTTTGCCGAGACCTTTGAATGCATTTTAGACCATTGTTATGCTGATTAGTTGAGTTTATAAAGAATTGGGTTTCAGCCTTAAAGGTTTTGTTTAGCATGCTTAAACTAGAGTAGAAAGTGATATTGTGTATGTGAAGTCTTTGCCTTGTTTGTAATGTTTTGTGACCTGGTGTTATGCTGTTATGTGAAATGTGAAGGCTGAAATGAAATCCCGTGGTAGTGGAACTTCAAGAAGCGGAGATCGTGCCCGAATCGATAGTGGTCGTAAAGCAAAAGGAAAACGGCCGGCACTGGTAAGTTTTATATAAGCTGATTTTGAGCTTTTGCTGGAGAGAAGTATATTAGCTTCTTTTTTTAGTATACAATGTACCATGGAGGTGTGTCTGGGAAGATATACTTATCATAACACCTTAAATACATATTTTTCAGTCGCAACTGGAAGAGAAAAGAGGGCGTGACGTCAAGTCCCCACGTGTTGATTCTTCCGCCCGTCGGAAAAAACAAGAACTTGATTTAGCTCGTGAGGCAAAGAAGAAGGAGATACAGAGAAAAGCAAGTCTAGCGGTTAAGAAACGTCGGACAGAGGATGATATCTTGCAGAATGTCGGACAAAGCGTCGTGAAGACTCGTCTATATACCAATCGGATGAGGAGGCGGAGGATGATGAGGAGAATGAAGAAGAGGATGATAACCCAGAACAAGATGAGCGTGGAGAAGAAGATGATGTTGATGAAGAAGATGATGTTGGCGAAGAAGATGAGGATGCCCATGGTGAAAATGAACGCGAGGATGAAGACGATAGACGAGCACAAGAAAAAGGAAGTGATTCATCTACACCCTCACCAGCTCCAAGTAAACTTTCAAAATAATTAACCACGCGGCACGAATTAATTAATTAACTAGCTATGGACTGTTATGAAAATTATAAATCAAAAGAAAAATAAAATAATAATATGATGAGATAGGTGTTAATTCTTGTTGCCTTCTTTGTTGTTATTGTTACTACTGTTATGCAATCTAGGAGGATAAATAAAATGAAAAAATAAATGTTAATAATGGTTTAATCAAAAGACAGGAAATTAGTCATTGGGACACATCTACTGTGATTCACAATGATGTTGCTTTTTATTTGCCCAACAAATGTTGAATTAATATTGTTGTGTTTGAATTTTGATTGCTATCGAATTAATTTAAATTATAAATTAATAGTGTCTTTATTTATGTTATCTCTTATTTTTTTTGTTAAATTGTTGCAGATGGTAGTAAGACATCATCAAGCATGTCTGGTTCCGAATGGCTTGTAAAAGAACCGGTGCCTGGTGGCCCTATTGATGGGACCGTCATCCCGAGTTTCTGTGGTCATGTTGCATATGAGCTTTGGACTACAGGAGAAAGAAAGACGTTGAAGATGCATACACGAACATTAACATTAAATTGGTTGGCCGAATGGATGAAGGATAATGCTGATTTGAGGAATGAGGTTGTCCTAACAGGCTTGTCGCACCTCCCTGCTTGCATGCATGATACCATTGATGTTTCCCTGATCAATGCCTTTATTGAGCGTTGGCAGCCTGACACTAACACATTTCACCTTCCATTTGGTGAAATGACCATAATGCTGCATGATGTTGAGCGTATTTTGAGGATTCCGATTGAAGGGGAGCCGGTAAGCAAGAACCTTACTTCTACCGAGGTGCAGGAGTTGGTGAAAAAATATGCAAGGTGGACAAACTTGACTTGCATTCTTTTTACCGGAGTGGTGGGGTTACTAATGTCTCTGTTGTCAATACGTTAATGAGGACTCCGGGGGTTGATATCCAGAGACAGATAGAGGGTTGGTTATGGCTGGCTTTGGGTTCCACTTTGTTCGTAGATAAGAGTGGAAATAGAATTAGGCCTGGGCCTTTACATGAGATCCAAAATGGAATTGGTACACTGTCTAGTTATTCGTGGGGTTCTGCTGTTCTAGCTCACATGTACTGACAGATGGGAATGGCTAGCAGAACTGATGCAGGAGGTATTGCTGGTTGCCTCACTCTTTTGCAGACTTGGATCTTTGAGTATTTTCCGACCTTTCGACCCCATATCTTTCCACATGTTATAGCGGAGGGGCAAGCCCGCACATGCAGATGGAAAGTGGACTCAAAAGCATCCAAACCTTCATCTGTCGCATTGGATGGTTACCGGCGACAACTTGACATTTGAAGGCTAGTAATGTAAGTATTAGTTACAAAGTTCTTAAATTTTGTTAAATTGCTTATAATAATTTATTATTTGTTATCACTAAGTCTTTTTGTGTTTTTGGTTATTGTTCGTTGTAGGTTGTGTGGATGTCATACGGTGAGGATGTACATGTTACCTGTCCGAGGACACTTTATTATGGTTGGCTTCAGTACCGTGACATACGTGAGCCCTATATGCCAGCACGTGTTCTGCGACAGGTAGGGATGGTTCAGACGATCCCACCAACTATCCTCCACCCGACGAAGGTCACTCGCAGTCAGGGCAAGCATAACTACAAGTTGGATTTTCCATCGATTTCTGCGTCAGACGGATGGAAGACCTTTCCGATTGGGGGTTGCTTGAATATTCTATTTTATACCCCAGTCACGTTGGATGATTCTGGAGCTACACATACTGGGTACATGGATTGGTATCAGAAGTACTCACACCCATTTGTCCTCCCACCGGAGCGTCGCAACATTGAGACGACGAATGCCACTACATGCTTGGTTACCATATCTGTAAGTCGTTTATTAATTTTTTTTGGTGTTTTAGTATATTGTGATGTTTATTTGAATTATTAAAGTTTTTTGTATATCTCTTATTCACAGTGGGTGAACAAATTTCAGGACGCTGCAAATGAGGCCATTGCGATAGCTATGGAGGCAGATCCTGTTAGGGCGGAAACGGTGAAGGAGACAGTTGAAGGTCTCCTGGCTAATTTTCATACATTTAGGCGGTAGCCATGGATATGAATTGTTTTGTATTTGGTTGATTGTAGCTATGGATATTGAATTGTTTTGTAGTTAGTTCAATGGTTGGATGTTTGAATGTGTTGAATTGGTTGGATATTGAATGGTTGGACGTTTTTATTGTTTGGATTAGTTGAATGGTTAGATGTATTGATTTTTAATGAAATGAATGTTTGGATTAGTTGAATGTTAGATGATTGATTTGTTGAAATGGATGTTTGAATTAGTTGAATGGTTAGTTAGTTTTTGGTGTAAGTTGGACAGGTATAGAATAAGTTGGACGTGTGGAAAATTACAAAAATGAATGTCTTGACAAAAGTTTGATCTCAAGTCCACATGATTCTAGAATAGACAAAAAAAAAAAAAAAACATAAAAAATTAACAATCGTTTGTCAAGTCCACATGATACTGCCTCATGTCCCCAATGTTGCCAGAAAGTTTCCTCCACTCAAAGATTCTAGCGCGATATGGTAGATCAAAACCTTCTACACTAGGATCCTTGTACTTTGTCCAAAGAAAATCTTGTGGTGGTACGGGAGAATATGAACTTAGATGTAACCTAACAAAGTGATTCCCAATGCGGAGGATGGTGATCTCCCTCTCCGGACCTGCTTTTCCATTTGTATTCCGCATCGGCAACACAGTACAAGCAGAGTTTGCCCACGTCAAGTCCCATTCATTATAGGTTAGACAAATTATAGCCGCATTAAATAAGGTGGAAATGGGAAACAAGTCATCAAGCATAACAATGTAATGATCGATACCACAACCACTATTCCTTTCATGCCTTATGCGGGCAACTTCTTTGCTCACATCCATAAATCCCACTTTTTCATACACTTTAGGGAACGAAAGTAATTCATCAATCACTTGCCTTCTTATATCCATCCATTGATTTTGATCATTCAAAACACAATCGGCTATAACACGGAAACCACAATTGCCGTCGCCAACAACGTCCAAATACCCTTCGACATATGGCAAAACAAACTGAGGAATCTTATGACAATTCTCCCAAAGAAGAACTGCATCTCGACCACCACCTAAAAATTACAAAATTGAAGCTTATGTATACCAAAAAAAACATCTAGACATAAAGCTTAAAGTAAAATATAATAGAAGTTGTATACCTTTAGTGTTTTGGAAATTCGTTGTCCCGCGACCACGTCCATATGAGGAACCACGCCCACATGAGGAACTACGACCACGTGAAGAACTACGACCACGAGAGAAACTACGTGATGAACTCTTAACCGCTTGAGTGGTGTCGAGACAACTGATCTCCCATGAAGACAAGTTACGACTCGTAGAGGCTCTGCTCGCAGGTCGACCTCTACGTGATTCATTCACATCCGGTTCTCCATATTCTCCTTGATCCAGGTAGACATGAGGATCAAGCAAAGCATTTACCCTTCGAATATATTCATCATCTTTGGACCTAACAACTGCAACAAGACTATCAAAATGTTGCAAATCTATCGATCCTTCTTCTTGACGAACGTTGACTTCTGAGTTGATTCGGAGAGTTGTCCAAAACTGATGTAGGTGATGCGGTTCAAAGAATAGATTGTTCCGGAGTGCTCGGTAAATCTCACAAGGGCATGGCATACCATGAGTCATTCGCATTTTATGTTGACACAAATTAGGCGTATCATCACCCCAATTGTTTGTCACAAGTTCCAATGACTTAAACAACAAATTCAAACAATGGAGTGATGCACGATTTCTCAAGTATGTGAATGGGGGTACCGTGTGATCCACATTACTCTTACACAATGATTGTTCTTGATCATACCTGTTAATGAAAATATTATATTCAGCTCGTAAGTAATTAACAATTAAAATGAACGTCCAAGGCCAAATATTGAAAGACAGACAAACGTCCCAGTAGCAGGCTTAAAGAGATAGTTAACGTCTAGTATAGAAGCTTGGAACAGCTTGAAACTTCCCAGTGATAAGCTTAAAGAAACTTTAAACGTCTAATATTGAAGCTTTAAGCAGCCAGAAACTTCCCAGTGGTAAGCTTCAAGAGACTCTAAACGTCTAAAATCGAAGCTTTCAATAGCTCAAAACTTCCCAGTGATATGCTTAAAGGGCTTTTAAACGTCTAATTCAAAAGCTTCATTACTGCAACTTTTTTTTTTGTCTCAATCATTTATCACATAACTTTTATATTTAAATATTACAAACCATAATCATAATGTAATTATGTACCTGATTTGTGTATTTGTAGATCCAGTCTCCTCATGTATCGAAATAAAAAGAGTATCAAATGAGCCGGTGGATGTGTTAAGCCATTGTTTTAAGGCGGCATGCGCGCTTTCCACTCTACAAGTTGTTGTGTTCCCAAAGTGTTGTACTTGGTTTGTCCAGAGACGAACAAACTTCTCCTTGTGTGGATCCAACCATGTGGACTCAAGGTAATGCAAAATTTTTGGATGAGGACGCAATTTTTCTCTCATGTCTGCCAAGGCTTTTTCGTACTTCTCTACAGTGTCGGCTTGCCATACTAGTCTCCATGTGCCACTTTTAAAACTCGAAGCGTAATCCCGACTATTTTCATTTTTATTACCGCCTAATTTTTTGTACACTTGATTCTCCACATCCTTGTTGATGTGGAAAGTACAAAGCAAGTGGGGAGTTTGAGTAAATTGTTCCTTAATGGGAGCCATCAACCCCATCTTCCTGTCAGTTAAAATGACTGTGGGCTCAACATCATTCCCAATCAAAATCCGTAAGTTCTTCAACACCCATCGATAACTATTAGCTGACTCATCCTTAATAATTGCACAAGCAATCAAAAAAAATTTATTACCAGGAGTCATGCCAATAATTTAGAACAAAGGCATCTCATACCTGTTCGTCTTGTACGTGGAGTCCATGCCAATGACCCAAGGGTATGCTCTAAGTGTCTTTTTCGACTCTGGATGGACCAAGAACACATGGGTTATCTTCTTTGTATCATGATATCTAAGCGATTGAATATCATATTCGTTGTCCTTAGCCAACTTGTAGAACTGTTGAATCATACTCTTTTCCCCAAATGATGCCTTCCGGAGCTTTGCCCTGCAGTTGTAAATTTGTCTGATGTGACAATTGTCCTCCAGAAATGATTGTTGAACAGCCAACAATATGTTTTGCGGCTTTGTTTGAGAAAGAACCATCGACCGGATAAGTTTTTTTGCTCTAACACTAATAGCACTCATTTGCCGATGTCCCTCTGCATATTCAATGGGCTCATGATTGTGTCTACCCTCTTCACATTCCATAATCCAACTATGAAACTCCGAATATGGCGTCAAGTTTTTCAATATTACCGTGAACTCACAACCACAAACAATGGTCTTTGTGTTCTTTCTCTGTCTTGGATTTGGAGTCCCTTCATCTTTCAATTTTTTTCTGTTGGCCCGATTACATCTAAGCCTTACACTGGTGGGTAAATGTTTTGAAGTTATTTTCAACTCATACCCAGAGTATATGGCAAGAAAGTAGCAATAATGAAGAGCTTCATTATAACTCTTATGTATTTGCCCGTCTTGAAAATAATCCGTATAATCTTCAAATTCATCCTATAAATAGTTAAATTACACAATTTTATTACCACATTTGATTAAAAGTAAATATTAGTAATAATCACAAATCATTTAGGTGATAAACTAAGAAAACAATAAAATTTAGTTGCAGAAAAACAAGCTTTTGTTTTAGACGTTTGAAGTGCTTATAAGCATTAGGATTAGACGTTTCAGAGACATACAAGCTTACAAACTGGACGTTTATCTTGCCAGTCGGGCTTCCTGTTTAGACGTTTCCGGGCTCTTGTAGCTTAACTATGAAACGTTTACTTCATGTGTAAGCTTAGCTATTAGACGTTTAGTCTACATTCTAGCTTTTACCTAGGACGTTTGCTGAACGAACTTAAACCCTAACCTACATCTATTATCACTCTATTCATCCTACATACTAATCAACCCCTCACATTTTTTTAATGAAACGTATATGAAGAAGATTTAATGATCTAAGTTATAAAATAACCCAAATGCTCAAAAATCAAGAGATCTATCTTGTGAGTGAAAATCAATGTAAAAAAAAAATAAAAATTAGGGGTTAACATAAGTTACCTCATTTGCATGTGTCCTCGATGATGTTGGATTACTCGACATGTAGATTAATGAAGAATAATGTAGAGATTGGTGAGTTAATTTTTAATGAAGAGGAAGAAGGAGATTGATGAATATATGGATTTTGGTAAAAGTGAAGAAGAAGGACAAAAATATTTTAAAGTAAGTAAAATATTTTTACTAGGACAAAAATGTAATTTTTATTATTATTAGTAGGTCAAAACTGAACCGAGACCCGGACCATGGAATCGAATTTAGAAATAATAAATAAAAAAAATCTTATTGTTCAATCTGAAATAGTCAAAAGCATTCAACGGCCCAGATTAGTGGGCTATCAACGGTCTAATATCAGGCCACCGGTCGAGTTCCGTCAACAGATTAAAAAACAAAAGAAAATATGGTGGGCCATCTCGAGAGCCGGTCTAGACCAAAAATTTTTATACATGAGGCCCAGAACCGGCCTAGTCAAACTACGAGCTCGATTCAGGGCCTGTTGACCATGGGCCTGTTCGGGACCGGCCCATGGCCATGATTAGTAATCTAAACCTGTAAAATGTAAACATGAACGTGAATACAATACATCTACTTTGATTCTCTAAAAAATATGCACCTCTAGTTTGATTCACTAAAAAACGAGGCCTTTTCTGTTGGACTAATTAGTTTGAGTGATATGTGGAAATCAAATTATTGAGGAGGCTTTCACGTTGGACGTTTCTGAGTACATTAAGCTATTTTTTAAGGAAGTTTGTTGATGTCATAAGCTTCTCTTTGTGACGATTGTTTTGCTTCGAAGCTTAGCAGTGGGACGTTTCCTATGGAAAGAAGCTTCACTCTTGAACATTTCTTTGGTTTCAAAGATTTTCTTATGGACGTTTGCTTTCACTATGAATCTTCAATTTTGAACGTTCATCCGCCATGCGAGCTTAGCTGCTGTTCATATCCTGTCATAAGCGGGCATCAAAGTTGGACGTCTGCTCTGCACTATAAGCTTTCATTTATAAAGTGTTAAGTGTGTTGCCCCTTCACTTCTAGACGTTTCTCTTCAGAGTCGAGCTCTGCTACGAAACGTTCCATGGGCTTACGAGCTTAGCCTTTGGACGTTAGGTTTCATAGTCGGGCTCCTTTGTTGGACGTTTGTTCGACTTTCAACCTTAGCTTCTGGACGTTTCTTGGACTTTCAAGCTTTAGTGTTAGATGTTTGAATGCATTTTTTTTCATTAATTTCTTTATACCATAGGGATATTTTTGTAAATTTATAATTTTTTAATATTTTTTTTGGGCGACAAGTAGTAATTTGGGGCGACAAATAACAACACCCATTTAGGGGTTAAGCCTCAATTTGCATGGATATGTGGGTATATATTTGGGATAGAAGTTGGAAGATGGGAGTTATTTTCTTTACTAATGGGCCAAAATCTATCAGGGGATGAGGCACATTTATTTGATCAAATTATTCAATGATTGACCCAAATTTTCATGTGGCCTTAATTGATGAATTGGCCCAACCGCATAATCAAAAGATGTCGCGACTAATTCACTCCAAGACACGTTGTCCGTGAATAAGTCTCGAGTGGGCATTTGTAGATACATAAATTTTGTGTCCAATCAAATGGCGCCAGGTGGAAATTAATTTATTAAAAATCAAGTCATATTTTCTATTTATATTTAAGAATTCCCATATATTTAATTTCTAATTTTAAATAGTTAATTAATTGATATTTTAATATTTTAATTCTTGACCAATTAAATAATGCCAAGTGTCAAATCTTATTTCTTGGTAAATAAATCACATATCTTCTAGAATATCTTGGAAGATTTAAGTAGATCTAGAAGACCTTATGTGAATCATCATGGACCAATCAAATCGCGTCCTACGATTCTTAAATTTGGTAGGGTTCTCTCTCCTACACATATAAATAGGGGCTCTCCCTAAAGCCAAAAAGACACATCATAATTCATATTCAAATTCAAAAGCTCTAGAGAATTCTCTCGACGAGATTCAAGAGTTCTTAAAGATTCAAAGGCGTTCTTGAAGATTCGAAGCAGGATTCAAGTGCATTCAACCTCAAGACTGGCGTTCAATCCGGAAACAAGCTGCAAAGCCTCCGAATAGCGTTAGTAAATTCAAAACCGGCGTGAAGAAGATTCAAGATCTACTTTGCGACGAAGACCAAAAGATTCGTGTTCTTCGCGTTCTTGAGATATTTCGACGTTTGATCCAAAATCAAGGCGTTGGCTCTCGGATTAACGTTGATTCAAGTCAAATCAAGTCAAGGAGAAGATCAAGCCGAAGATTTCGCTCCAAGACTTAAAATTGTTCGTAAGAAGAATCTGAGGAGAAAATAGAGATTGTAACCCGCTATATAATTTTGATTCGAGAAATTTATTTGAATAATATTTTCGTGTTTATAAATTCAATACACGAAATTTGTTGTTACAACGTCCATCATACTGAGGAGCTCGCAACCTGCTGTTGAGTCCACCAATTCGTCTATCCTTGTTAGCGGG